GGCTGAGGCAGAAGGATCGCCTGAGCCCAGCAGGTCAAGGCTGCGGTGGCTGTGAGCACGCCACTGCACTTTAGACTGGGTGACAGAGTGAGACTCCGACTCGGAAAAAAAAAAGAAAAGAAAAACACAGATAGAACCTTTGTTCTGCAGCTAGTCACAGCCCTTTTATCCTTTTGATTCCCAGGCAACAAATGAACATTAGTTCACTTCTTCTCAGCCCCAATATATGTCTAATTTTATTGTATTTATATCTGACAGTGTGCTGAATCTCCACTACAGGGAATTCATACTAAGTCCCTCTCACCAGGCTTCAACCTGCAGCCTTCTCCAAAAACCTCTAATCTCTAAACATCTGACTCAGTATGGCTGAGTTGTCTCATGGGTTCTCAGATATCTATTTGGAAATGTCTTTACCATGGTCAGTTTGACAACTCACTTGGAATACAACATCTGTTGTCTTTATGCCTAACCAAAATTTAACTAAGAAGAGATTCATTTTGAATACATGTCATTTTTTACACTGTTGGGCAGCACACACACAGTTGCACACTTTGCATTTTTCATCTAAAATAGCTTCAATAATATTACATAGCATTATTAGCATTTTAAGATCATGCCTGCAAATTTGAAGGCGAAAAATAACATCTGGTTCTCATCTGTACAAAGAAGATGTACAGATGGCTAACAAACACATCAGAAGATACTTAATGTCTTTAGTCACTAAGGAAATACAAATCAAAACCAAAATGAGGAACCATTTCATATCCACTAGGATGACTAGAACAACAGCAGCAAAAAGTAAAATAACAAGTGTTGGGAATGATGTGGAGAAACTGGACCTCTTGTACATGGATGGTGGGGAGTATAAATGGTGTGGCTTCTGTAGAAAAGAGTTTGGCAGCTTTTCAAAAAAATTGAACAGAATTAGCATGTGACCCAACGGCTCTACTCCCAATTCAAATATAGTTATGCGCATGTTTGCAGCGGTACCATTTATAAGAGCCAAAAGGTGGAAATAGCCCAAATACCCATCAATGGATGGAGAAACGAACTGTGGGATATCATAGAATGGAACATTAATCAGCCCTAAAAAGGAATGAAGTACTGACACACCTTCAGTGTAGACGAACCTCAAAAACATCCCTCTAAGTGAAAGAAGCCAGACACAAAAGGTCATATATTATTCCATTTGTATGAAATATCCAGAAGAGGTAATCCATAAGAGACAGAACATAGATTGGTAGTTGCCAGGGGCTGGAGGGAAGAGGAAATGGGGAAAAAATTGCTTAATGAGTGTGATATGATACAATATATATTTGCTGGGTCAGTGTCTCACACCTGTAATCCCAATGGTTTGGGAGGCGGAGGCAAGAGGTTTGCCTGAGCCTGTGGGTTTGAGACCAGTCTGGGCAACATGGTGAGACCTCGTCTTTGCAAAAAAAAAAAAAAAATTAGCCAGGAGTGGTGGCACATACCTGTGCTTCCAGCTACTTGGAAGGCTGCGGCGGAAGGATCGCCTAAGCCCCGCAGGTTGAGTCTGTGGTGTGGCTGTGAGCGTGCTACTGAACTCCAGCCTGGGAGACAGAGTGAGACTCTAACTCAAAAAAAAAAAAAGTATATATATATATATGTATATATATATATATATTTATTTATTTATTTAAATTTAAATTTTTTATTTTTGACCTTCATCTTCGTTTTCTGGCACAGAGTCCCTAAAATCCTTGGAATCCCCATAGTGCTGTCTTTTTGTATGTTAGTGTTGAGTGATAGCTTCAGGGTACACTTGGTCCCCAGAAAAACAAAGGCAGGACTCGAGGGTTGAGACTCTCAGGCCCAGCGCCCCAACTTCTGGTAAGGGGAGGGGGCTGAAAATGAAGGTGATCACCAACGGCCAATGGCTTATCAGTCATGCCTCTGCAACGAAGCCTTCACAAAACCCCAAGAGGATGGGATGTGAAGAACTTCAGGACAACTAAACATGCGTAGGCTCCTGGTAGGTGGCACACCTAGGAAGGAGCTCTGTACCCTTTCCCGCATGCTTCACCCTGTGTCTTCATCTCTATCCTTTGTGATCTTTCTTTATCATATTAAGTGGTAAACACAAAGGTTTCCTTTAGCTCCTTCAGCAAATTACTCTAGCCTCAAGCAAATGTCCTGGGAACCCCAACTTGAAGCTGGTTGTTCAGAAGTTCTGGAGGTCTGCACTTGTGATATAGTGTCTGAAGGAGGAGGGGCCATTTGGGCCCTCAGGCTGTGGGATCTGACACTATGTCTAGGCAGAAACTGTCAGAATTGAATTGGAGGAGACCAGGTGCGGTGGCTCATGCCTATTATCCCGGCACTCTGGGAGGCGGAGGCAAGAGGATTGCCTGAACCCAGGGGTTTGAGACCAGCCTGGGCAACTTGGCAAGACTTTGTCTCTACAATAAATCAAAAAATTAGCCAAGTGTGGTAGCGCGCACCTGTAGTTCCAGTTACTTGGAAGGCTGAGGCAGAAGGATGGACTGAGCCCAGCAAGTCAAGGTTGCAGTGGCCATGAGCATGCCGCTGCCCTCCAGCCTGGGTAACAGAGTGAGACTCTGACTCAA